TACATTGGCCTTTCCTGGATGGTAGTGTAATTCAAAATCATAATCTTTCAAAAATTTCATCCATCGTCTTTGTCTCATATTTAACATTTTTTTATCAAACAAGGATTTAAGACTTTTATGGTCACTAAAAACCTCAAACGTACCAGCATACACATAATGTCTCCATATTTTGAGTGTAAAAATAATAGCGACTAGTTCTAGACCATGAGTTAGATAATTGTTTCCATGTGCTCTTAATTGTCTAAAAGCATATGCAACTATCCTTCTATCTTGCATAAGAACACATCCTAATCCCTTTTTGAAAGCATCACAAAATATCACAAAGTGCCTAATAGGGTTAGGTACTATTAGTACAGGGGAAGTAGTTAATATTTTCTTAAGCTCTTGAAAATTATTTTCGTATTTTTTTTATCATTCAAAAGCTTGACCTTTCTTGTGAGTTGGGTTAAAGACATAGCTATTTTAGAAAACCCTTTAATGAATCTCCTATAATACCCAACCAAACCCAGAAAAATACGAATCTCAGTCACTATTTTTGGTGGATCACATTGTAGAATTGACTCCACCTTAGTTGGGTCTACTAACACTCCTTCTTTGGAAATCACATATACAATTTAGCATATAATTTACTTCTTCTAACCAAAATTTACACTTATACAATTTAGCATATAATTGTTTGTCTTTCAAAATCTGAAGAATAGTTTGAAGGTGTTCCTCATGATTTTCAAAAGTTTTAGAATAAATAAGAATGTTATCTGTAAAAATTACAACAAAATGATCTAAAAATTGACGAAAAATTTTATTCATATAATCCATAAATATTGCAGGAGCATTGATCACACCAAAAGGCATCACTTGGTATTCATAATAACCTTACCCAATTCTAAATGAAATTTTTTGTACATCTTCTGCCTTTACTCTAATTTGGTAATATCCTGATCTTAAATCTATTTTAGAAAACACAAAAACTCATTTTAATTGATCTAACAAATCATCTATTGTTGGAAGATGATATTTATTCTTTATGGTAAATTTATTTAACTAACGATAATTTACACACAAGCTAAAATTTCCATCTTTCTTCTTAACTATAAAAATAGGGGTTCCCAAGGTGATACACTAGGACAAATGAATTGTTTCCCAAATAATTCTTCTAATTGTTTCTTCAGTTCTGTTAATTCAGAGGTGACATCCTATATGGTGGCATAGGAATTGGTCTAGTTCCAGGCATCAATTCTATTGAAAATTCAATCTCTCTATTGGGTGGTAAACCAGGAATATCAGGAAAAATTTTAGGAAAATTTTGAACAATTGCTATATTTTTTTAAATCGACTTCCTTTTTTACTTCCATGGAAAATAATAACAAATATCCTTGAATTTTATTATTCAAAGACTCATTTACTGAGTTGGTAGAGAAATTCAAAAGATCCTCAGAATTTAAAAATATTACTGATTTTTCTGCGAAATTCAGAAGAATTTGATTGGAAGATAACTAGTCCATACCTAAGATTACATCCAATTGAGATAAAGGTATACAAATTAAATTTACAAGAAAATTCCTATTTTTAGAACAAAAGACAATCTAAAAATTTTGTATTGTACTTACAACTTATTTGTGGGAGTTGAAACAATCAAACTAGTGTTTAAAAAAAAAGTTGACAATTCAAGGTGTTGGAAAAAATCCTTGGAGATTAATGAATGAGTTGCACCTTAATTATACAGTACATTTAAAGTTTTGCCTTTAATGAAACACATACCTTGGATCAAATAATTGTTTTGAGAGGCTTCAGTTCCAGTCATGGTATATACTCTTCCTATTGTTGGAGGTCTTATTTTTGGTGCAAAAGGATTAAAATTTGGTTTTTGTTGCCGACATTAAGAGAATATATGACCAGGTTTTCCACATTTGAATTAGACAGGTCCTTTAAGATGGCAATATTTAGCATAATAATCTTGTCCACACTTGAAATACTTGAGATGATTATTTATAGGTTTATTAAAATTTCCTACAGAAAATTAACTGGGCTAGGATCTTCATTAGGGGCGGTTGTAAGATTTTCCTTCATTTTGTCTCCTTTTATTTTGTTGGGGTCCAAAATATTTTAGTTTACTATTTTGTTGGTTTTCAAAATCTTCCAAAAATCTACACTTATGAATAAACGTAGGAAAATAAGAAATTTCTAATATTCCTACTGCTTTTCTCAATTCAGGCCTAAGTCCATTCTCAAATTTTATACATTTCATTCTTTCATCAGGGTAATAGATGAATGCAGAGTATTTCCCAAGCTCTTCAAACTTAGAGGCATATTCTCTTACTGTCATACCTCCTTATTTTAATTCTATAAACTTTATTTTTTTTGCTCTTTTCACATCATTGGGAAAATATTTTTCTAAACATTTTGTTTTAAACACCTCCCAAGTAATGATTATTCTTCTTCCGCCTTCTAATAATCTCCTTGTACTATCCCACCAATATTCAGTCTCTCCTACTAACATAAACAAAGCGTAATTCACCTTTGGTTGTCAGGATAATTCATTACTTGAAATATTTTTTCTAATTCTTTATTCCACAATTCAACCTTTTCTGGGTTATAACCTCCAGAGAATTGTGGAGGTTTGTTTCTTGTAAATTCAACTAAACTTTGTGATTCATTGTTCTCTCAGTTCTTTGGCCCCTTAATAATGTACCACTTTTGTCAACTCATTGTTCCTCCTATTATTTGTCATCTGAAATTATACAAGTTAGGATTTTTAAGATCCCATGATAGACTCATTTCATAGGTTACACATGAAACGTTGTTTTGATACCATCTAATGTGACATTTTTTTTGTTTGATAAGGGTAACAAGTAAAATAAAGATATTTTATATATAAAAGTAATTTACATTACTATTTTTTTTACATGATATATAAAAGAGTAAGAAATTTTATTTATTTTTTATTCCTTTTCTTACTACAATTATACACATATTTACATTAATGGTGGAAACAAACTAATTAAGGGGTTTTGGTGAATGGTAGGAGGCATGTAAAAGACGACCACTATTGGTCTATCTAGCATGATGGAAGTTCCCATATCAGAAACAAATATTAATATTGATAACCCTGTCCCTTTAAAAGTAACCGAGTTATCAATAATGTTTGTGTTCCAAGTAGTTACTGAAAAGAAGACAAGTGATGCTTACAAAAAAGGGATTTGGGATATTTTGCACATCCATCTACTTAAGTTTATATTTAAATATAACATGCACAAGAGATCACAATAGGGAGTGAGAACAATTATCATTTAAAATAATATAATCTTATAATGATATATAAAATATGTTTTTCAACTTCCTTAACATATTCTATATTATGAATATTTGAATTAAATTTGTTGTGACTCGTCAGGATAAATGAGTCCAATTTTAACCATGTTCTCATTGATATCTACTCATTTCAATCCTTAAGATTCAACCTCAATTTACAATATCATCAAATATTCATAAATAGATATTATTATTTAAAAATAATTAAATAGTATAAATATGAATAAATAAACAAGTATCAGTGTATAACTGGAGATAATTAAAACAGGGGTAGTACAAGATTGGAGAAAATTAAACATAAAGCGAGACAAGTACGGAACCGGAGATAATTAAATAAGACCAAGTACAAGACTAAAAATAAATAAATAAACATAAAATAAGATCAGTACGCAATTGGAGATAATTAAAATAGGACAAGTGTAGACCTGGAGATAAATAAATAAACATAAAGCAAGACCAGTACGTAACTAGAGATAATTAAAATACGACCAATGCAGGACTGGAGATAAATAAATAAACATAAAATAGGATTAGTACGCAACTGGAGATAATTAAAATAGGACTAGTGCAGGACTGAAGATAAATAAATAAACATAAAGCAGGATCAATACGTAACTGAAGATAATTAAAATAGAATCAATGCAAGATTGAAGATAAATAAATAAACATAAAGCATATCAATATTTGTGATTAATTTATTTTAATTTATCTATTTGTGTTACTAAATTAAAAGTACGTTTAGAATTATTTAAAAATTGAATAATTATGTAGTAATCAAATTAGAAATACATATAAATTGATTATCATTTTATAATTTAAGTAATAATTAAATCGAAATACATCCAAAGTAATTATTAATATTTAAATATTTAAATTATAATTCCTATTTGGTTTTAAAATATCTTAGAAAAAGAAGTATGTTATTATAATAAAATCAAAAGTACATTTGAAGTGATTAAAATAATTTTTTGACACCAAATTAGATGTACATCCAAATTAATTAACTTTTTTATGAAATATTTTATTACAACTCTAATAAAAATAGTAATGCATATTTATTAATTCCATAAAATAATATTTGAGGAGAGAAAATGATAATTATTGAAATTTAAATTGTCAATATACTAATAGTAATATATTAATTTAAATATTTTTTAAGAAAAGAAGTTGAATCATTTTTATTTAGAATTTGAATAAAAAAGTAAATAAATAAAATAAATAATCTTTCATACCAATTACTAATTGTAACTTGTTTTTGTCATGTTGTCAAGTTTAACAGAATAAAATTAGGCCTAATAACTAAAAAAAAATCCTTTCAGATTTGTTTAATTATTTAAAGTTCGTTTTTGTTATTTTCACTCTCAAACTTAAATAGGCTATTTCTTTTTGCTGAATCCAACTTGAATCATCAGCCAAGAACTCTCCAACAAATTTGTTGGTCTCAAAAAATAATTTGTTTCACTATTTGATACCCATCTTTTGCTATTTTCACCTCAAACCCAAATAAAATTGTTTTTTCTAAATATAATTGGAATCATTAGCCCGAAAGTTTCCCATAAATTTGTTGGGCCCGAAAATTCGGTTCAAATACATTACCATGGCCTAAACTTAACCAACTGTCAAACATAAATTTATCTCAAATGAAATCAAGTAGATAAGAGTGAGGAGGTGTGAGAGGAGTGTGAAAGGACTTGTTCGGTGGTGGTTCACGGTGATTTGCATAAGATGTGATTTGAGGTTCGAAGGTGAGGTTGGGTTAGGGCTCACGAAGTGGAGGTGGCTGGGATAGTTGCGACTAAGGTTGGGTACGAGTAAGGTGTTACGAATGAGGGAGAAAATGGGTGCTAGGGTGCAGCGGAGGTACAACTCCGAGGTGGCTGATGGGATATGAGTTCAAAGCGCAGTTGGTGCGATAGAGGGGGTGAAGTGCAGGGTAAGATGTAGAAATGGTTCTAGTGAAGGAGTGGTTGTGGTGCGGAGGTGAGAGCGAAGGTGAAAAGGGAAAGTGAAACGCTCAGGTGAGGGGGAAAAGCTTAAAATGGGATGTGATGGGGTGAAGTGTGTCAATGAGAGATGAGGGAAAGGTGAGTGAGACGACGCGACGAGGTCACAATGGTGGACGTCGATAAGTGTATTTTTTGTTTTTTTATTTTTTATTTTTTGAATTTCTTTTAGCTTTGGAATTTTTAAAGATTATTACAGGAAATAACAAGGAGCAATATTCCCTATAATAACTGTCAATAACAAATATTATAGGAACAACAAATGTTAATAAATACTACAAGGAGAAGTCAAGTTAACTTTTTATGGATTTTTCTTGATTTCTATTTAATTGATTTCTTTTGAAGACTATTATGTCGTATTGATGTTTTTCATTATAGTGTTTGTTGTTTTGTGTTTCTATTTTTTTCTTTTTTTTTTTTTGTTGTCTTTCATCCTTTTTGAATTTTAATCCTTCAATTTATATAGGAACCCTTACCTGTTCATAAATCCAATTTCGGGTAACATGTTGGTGGTTGAAGCAATGAAGATGTTGGTGGTAGTTGTGCATAACTTTTCATTTATTTCATTTATTTATAAATAAATAAATAAATAGGATGTTTACAATTGTCCCTTTCGAATTAAGTTTTATTAGATAATTTAAATTTTATATTATGGTAATAAAATGTAAAGATGTGAACTTGAAATTTTTCTAGTTTGAATTCATGCTCCATAATGTGGTATTTTTGTTGTACTTTTTTTGTTTTGAAGTAAAAATCTGAGTGGTTATTGAAACCATTTTTTTTATTTTCTTATCTTTTATTCAAACTATATTTCTTTATTCCTTATTTCTTGTCTTTACTATTTTTGTTGTAAGATTTTGGTTATGTAGATCATGAGTTTTGTTATGTTATTTTTCTTAAAATTAGGTAGTCAATGGTGTTTTATTGATGATAAAAGTAATAGACACATCGTTATTTATAATAAAGATCTACATGAATTATTGTTGACAGAATATTGAGTTGAGATTGAGAAAGTTTTACAACTTAACTAGAAACAAATACATTTTATTTCAATACTAGGTAACATTACTTTTTAGATAACTATTTTTAAAATTTCATACACACCAAATACTCTATAAAAGTTTTTGGCTTGTGTTTAATGGTGAGATGGATTAGTTTTTTTTTTTTTGTAACATAAAAGTTATGTCCTTTTGTTTCTCATCTTGATGGTGCTCCATTATTTCTTAACCTTCATTTTTAATAGGACTTGCCAATGGATTTTGCAATTTATATTCAAAGAGGTAGATTTAAAACTGTAATACTTTATGGAGTATATTGTCAAATTAAGTGTAAACTTTTGATCATAGATGCATCAAGAAAATTCACAAAAATTGGCAAAAGATGAAAGAAATTTTGTCGTTCTAATTACTTGAAAGGTGACGATCTCATGATTTAGGTTGACAACCATTACGAGAAAATAGGATTTTTATATCAATTATTTTGAGCATCTTATATCGATCGTTAAACTGGTATAGATACCACCAATATAGAAAGTGTAAGAGTTTTATATCAATTGACAAAAGACGTAAAAAGTAGAGACATATACAACAAACTCATATTAATACTAAAAAATCAAATTCAATCAAGTATTTATTTAAATATGTCAACAAATGACTAAATAAAGCTATCATTAATGTTAGTAGAACTTAAATTCTATTGATTCAAAAGTTCCTGATGAAATTAAAAGATATTATGATTGAATATACTTATTACATTACGTAATTAATTATTTAGTAGCACATAAAAATAATTTATTATCACAATAAATTATGATAATATCTGGTGTTACTTCTATAATCTAAATAATAATAATAATAAATCTTTCGATCCTTAATCTTACTAAATATTCATTATATCTCTTTCGATATTATTGTGAATATTTCTTTATTTTTATTAGAGAAAATACCAAAACAGTTACACATTCTTAAACTAATTTTTAAGGTTCAATTTATTATTAATTTTCATAAAAAAGTTACACAAATATTTTTTAATAAAAATTATTTTCAATAATAACTTTTCATTAATAAGTAAATCAAACACAATATTATTTATACAGAGGAATAGTGTTATTTCTTTTTCAACATGGTGAGTATGTTATTAATTACTATTACCACCTTTTAAAAAGTATATTTAAATGATAATATGATTTTTTTAGAAAATGATATTTTGACAACCCAAATCCATACAACTCCCGTAAACAACTCTCTTTTAATATTATAATAATAGTTTTACTTTATTTTTATTTTTATTAAATCATTATATAGATTATTATATTAATAAAAATGAGTTGTTTGAAGGGTTATATGGTTTCCGGTTGTCAAAATATCACCACTCTTTTTTTTGTCCCACTTAAGTAATTCTTTTCTTTTTTTAATAAAGATTCCTAGTTTTTATATTTCTTCATTATACTTGCTATTTATTCGTTTAGTAGTACATGTTTTCCTGATTTTATTTTTAATAAACAAAACCAATTTGAAATACAAGTATTTTATGCTCTGAAATGTCCTTCTATACCATTAAAGTTTTAAAACTGCACATTTTTTTTTACTATTTTGATTTTGTTATTACTTTTATTATTTAATTAAAAGATGATACTTAAATTTTTATACATTTTTTTCATATTGGAATCTTTTAAAGAGATATATGGAATTCTTTAGAAATTTATGCCTATTTTTATTACTATATTAGGAATTACAATAAGGTACTAGCAATTGTATGGTTAGAAAGAGAAATATCTACAGGAATACAACAACATATTGGACCTGAAGGGTTCTAATAATTGATATGTTTCTACAAATAATTGAAATTCAATTTGTTGATATATATCCAGGGACGGATCCAGAAATAGTTTAAATGGGAGGCAAAAAAAATGTAAACTTTGATAATAAATATTAAATAAAAGTTAAACATATCATACCTTTTATTTGAGTTGTGCACGTCTTTCTTTCATATTATAAAATTCATCAATAATAGAATTTGTATCAAACTTCTCAGCAATCTTTCTCTCAATATAGGTAATCAATCAATAAGCTAGAAATTCATCTTCCATCTTGTTTTTGAGTCTATTTTTCACAATCTTCATAGCTGAAAATGACCTTTCAGTTGTAGCAGTTGAAACAGAAAGAGTTAATGTCAAACGTATTAAACAATCAATCAAAGGATAATTCAAATATTTTCTTATTTTTACCAATCCTTGACATAGCTCAGAAATTGTTGATAGATTTCTCAATTCGGGATGAAAAGGAACATCAAGCTCATAATGTTGAGCTTGTATTTTAAGATGCCTCTTTTCTTGTTCAGTGAAATCATTAGGATAAAACTTTGTTACCAATTCACAAATTTTCTCCACATTGAATGATTTGTAAAGATTTCGTGGATCTAAAGTTGAACTTAAAGTAAGCAATCGAACCATATTATCAGAAAATATACTATTAAGATTTTGCAACTGAGTATCAATGGTAGCTATAGACCCCAAATTTTGTCCAGTCACAAAATAAAGAGCAGAAGACCTCCAAATTCAAAGATGGGCAAGTCCTAAAAGGTCCTTAGGATAGACTATTAAGCCCCATATTAGAGTAGGAAGACTTTTTGTACGGAAAAAATAAGGATTTCCACCTGAAGGGTCGAGACCATCGTCTCGCTTATCGAGACCACCGTCTCGCCATTAGCAAGGGTGAGACCGTCATCTCGTTTGGCGAGACGGCCGTCTCGCCACTTGCCATGGCGAGACCGCCTTCCCGTTTGGTGAGACCGCCTTCTCACCATTTGTCAAATCGATACCGACGTTCCGATTGGCGAGACGGCCGTCTTGCCATTTGCCAAAGGTGAGACCGCTGTCCCGTTTGGCGAGACGGCGATCTCGACCTGACAGGCACGAATCCCTATAAAAGGAAGGCGCTCTCCCCCTCATTTCACACAGTTCTTCAACCTTTCCTTCTATCATTTCTTAAAATTCTTCTCCTAGAGCCCTTCCGAAGCATTTCTGGAGTTTTCTGAGTGTTCTTAGAGAGCTTGTTATAGTGTTACGAGTGAGAAAGACCGACGTTGTAGAGCGAAGGACTGCCAAAAAGCGTCCTATTTTAAGAGAATTAATCAAGAAAGCTTGCTCCGAAGGTTTCTTTACTTTCTCCCTCTCTTTTACTACCTTTTTATTTATATTTATCTGTACATTAGCTGCTAGGGTCATGTAGTCATTATTTTCTTAATTCCGCAAATAAAAGGATAAAAGCGCCATTTTAAAGTTTATTTATGAAATAACTGGCCTATCATAGGGAACCCGAAAGGGGCGTTGTGGGGGTGCTAATACCTTCCCCACACGTAACTAACTCCCTTACCCAACTCTGGGTATAATGGCCAAAGTTGGTTTTCTTAAAAACCAACGCCTTCTTTTTTTCCTTTTCCGATGTTTTCGGTAAAAACATCGGTGGCGACTCCATAAAAAACCTCTTTAAAAACCTTGCTCTTAGGTTCATCCCGGTTATTGGACAACCTAAAAGCTCCCTTTTGAAAACCTCGCTCTTAGGTCTAGCCCGGTTATCAGACAACCTAAAGGCGTTGTAACGTCACCCTTCTAAAACGCGAAAATGGAAGTCGGAACCATCGCGTCATTTCGACCGCCTCTTTTGACGGCGGCGACAGATGGCGACTCCACTGGGGAAGCCTAGAGAGTTGATCCCATTTAGTGATGGGCCGGTTTAATAAATAAACTTAAAAATTTCGCTTTTACCCTACCTTGTCTTATAACATGTTTATTTGCTTGGCTTTAATAACTCTTGTTTGTTTATTTTACGTAATTGTTTGAAATACAAACTTACACAAACTCTCGCACACAATAG